TCTCCCTTCCCTGTAGGGCTGGGTTTTGATTTTTGATTCAAAGAACTTGTTCGTGGTATCCTGTGTCCACGGACGCTTGTGACAAACCACGAGGGGAGGGAGATGCAGGGGGAGGGAGAGAGAGAGGCAGGGGAGGGGGAGAAAAGATGCAGGGGGAGGGGGAGGGGATGCAGGGGGAGGGGGAGATGCAGGAGAGGGGGAGGGATGTCATCTCCTCGCCCATCTGCTAATATCCATTAGAAAACTCATTAATAATTCATGAAGGAAACACAATAGAAATCATGATCATGAAGGAGGTTTTATATCTGATATAGATTTGTCTTTATTTGCATAAACTTTAACTTGGATTTTCTCTATCAAACTTGGTTTATATCGTAAAGAATTTGGTACAATATGAGAACTTACATCATGAGTTTTTTAAGCCATTTAATAAACTCGCAGATCGTGTTTTAACGGGTTTGAAACCACTCGGCAGCGCCTAATGTTTTATACCCGATAAAACACTCCTGCTCGTTTATTAGACAGTACGAAGTCGAGGATGTCATTCCCAGCATTGACAGCTGTCAGAAATCAGCATGGCTGAAGCAAGTTTTTAATTCTTTCTTGTGAATAGTATCAGGATTGCATAATCAACATAATCATAGTAATATATATATAACAGTACATACTTGGTAAAATTCAAAAATAAAATCTCATTAGCTTCATTGGCTGTACAATGAGCAATCGTTTTGTATTTTATGCATCATATGATCTAAATTTTTAATATTTTACTTACAGTGTTCTGAAGCATTTTTTGGATCTAAAAATTTTGGTCCCACTTTCTGGTTTTGATTTTACTTCCAAAATTTATTATAATTTATCATAAATAATTATTTAAAAAAGAAATTGGTAACAAAATTATCCTTATAGACTTTTTTTAAATAGATGAAACAGAAAAAATTCAATCTTTACTGAAGACACTGTAGATTTATTAGAAAATGGGAGGGATGGTTAAAATCTTATCAACTGGTTTCCTTAAGAATGATAACAGCAGTGAAGAGCTTGTTAAAACTGAGAAAAGGCCATATTCAATTCCTCATTGAAGAAAAACAATTCTTAAAAACCACAAAAATGTTGAAATATATATCACAAAAAAATAAGGAGATAAAAAACCTGTTTGATTATTTCAAAATCTTCATCAAGAGAATTCACTCACCATTTCCTATACTTTTCTAGCCCTTCTGGGATCGTTCAAGAGTGTAAACTGATTGATTGACAATTTAAGAGTCTTGCAGCCAAGGGTTCTGGCATAAGAGGTCAGACTCTCTTTACTACGTATGGTTTTCAAAACAGCTCTCTTAAATAATTCATACATAAGTGGGAGTCACAGTTGTAGTATGGATTATAATCCTCTTACCTTTAGCCCTAAAATTGATTTTAATGGATAAGAAATCAATCAAAATCTCTGGTTTTTCAAAAAGTACTTCTCAGACTACTTGTGGTGCTTGAGATTGCTTTTAAGCACAAAATAATAATATGTTTAATTTTTATGAGTACGATTTGATTCTATTTTTTAGCATAATTACATGAATGTCTCCTCTGGATAGTTTACATGAATAAATCAAATACATCAATAGAACTACAATAGTAGGAATATAATGGCTTATACTGAAAATAATAATAATAATAACTTGTTATTATTATACTCAAAATAAAAGATATATAATTTTTTGCAATTTTGAACCTAAAACTAAAAATTGCCTGCTTGTAAAATCTAATTTTTAGAATTTCTGAAATTTTATTTTAAATTCTCATTTATTTTCATTTCCTCATTTGATTCAGAATTTTTAAGAATAAGACTAAAAAGATAAAAATTTAACCTGTGATTAAAATGGATTATGCTGGAAATATTTTTCTAAATTCTTAATGAGTATGCATAAAACTAAGTGGAATTGAATGAATAAATAATGAAATCCCAGCTGGAAAGTCAAAGAAATAAAACAACCTCAATGTAATTATCACTGATAATGAAGTACGTGGCTTCAGTTTATAGTTTAATTTGTAATTCCATTATAGAATATATAAGATTCATTAAAAAATTGTATTATGCATTTAAGAAATCAATTTGAACAAATATACCAACAGTATTGTAGTTTAAAAATCAACTCCTAAATTCCAATTCGATCATGGAATGAGGGCCACAGGTTTGTTAGCCACTGGCTATTAAGTGCTACCCTCGTGAAAAAAGGACGNTAAAATCTAAAAATTAAACCATATCTAAAAATATTATCTTTACAAAGCTTTTAAGTGACGGTCAATCACGTATGGAAAAAGACTTCCGTGTCCAAATAGAAGTAGAAAGATTTTAACGAAAGATAAACATTACCAAGAGAAATGAACTAAGAGAAGGAAACTCTGTTATTCATGATTGTCACCAACATTGGCACCGTTTGATGTGATCTTTTTTTTCTGCACGCGCATACTGAGCGCGCTCTATTCTGTTTTTTTTTTTTTTTTTTTTTTTTTTTTAAACATGAAGAAAAGAAAAAAAGAAATTTTAGAAAAAGAAACAAATCAAAAGAAACTGTAACAAAATTAAGAAATAAATGCAAAAAACCCTTTCTTTGTGTTTGATGGAGCTGTGACTTGGCTTCGGAAAGACTTATTAACTATTTATCAATAGTAAGCTCACACCAGTTTTTAGCTAGTTATCTCTTCTTATTTATCAATAGTGGTTGTTCATAAGCTATTTTTGGTTTTATTTTTTTGTCAATCTAGTGGTGATTTGCTACGAATATAAAGTAACTAAAGGTGGAATCTGACGTAAAAGCTGAAAAAATATCCCTAAAATTGCTTAAATAGCTTTAATATTGTACTTAAGATAAACTGAAGTAAAATAACGTGGAAAGTTAATTAATATAAATGTAGAAAATATTTTTGAAATTTTTGTCGACATAACAATGGTCTTCCTATTGCCAATCTGTAAATGAGCTTCCCCTTGTACATCATCAATTGGGCTTCCCATTGTACATCAGTAAATGGGCTTCCCATTGTACATCCATAAATGAGCTTCCCATTGCACATCAGTAAATGAGCTTCCCCTCGTACATCATCAATTGGGCTTCCCATTGTACATCAGTAAATGGGCTTCCCATTGTACATCCATAATTGAGCTTCCCATTGCACATCAGTAAATGAGCTTCCCCTCGTACATCATCAATTGGGCTTCCCATTTAATATCCAATGAATGGGTTTCCCATTGCCAATCAACAAGGCAGTGAATAGATGATGTCAAAAAAATGGAGACAAAGGCAAACCTCAGACAAACAAACTTATATTTTACTTTCAGCATATAATTTTCATAGCCAATTTATCAATAGTCAGGACACAGCTAACTCAGAGATTGAACCCTGAAGCAGCCTCTGGGCTGATCTAAGTCAGGGCATGGCTAACTCACAGATCAAACCCTGAAACAACCTCTGGGCTGATCTAAGTCAGGGCATGGCTAACTCACAGAT